GACCTTTAAGGGCGCTTCTAAAATGTCAGTCACTCCTCTGACCCCTTGCTTGAAGCTTTCCTCTGGCTTCCTGAGCCTGGAGGAGGCCCTGCGTCTTCTGCCTCCTGCCAAGGCCCCTGTCTGGACTCCCACCCTGCTTGGCTCCCTGGACTTCAGATGTGCTCTCTTCTTGAGGCTCCAGGTTTCGCTCACGCAATGTACTTTAAAGACCCCAATAAGTCAGTACAAGCTCTTGAAGGGCACCAAGTGTTCCACACCCTTCACTCCATGCCGTCAGGGTAGCCAGAGCACTTGGCCATCTCTCAGTGGCTGGTGGCTGCTGTAGAGCCCTCATGGAAGCACAAACCACCCTCCTGTGAGGGCTGCAGGTGCCTCCTCTGCTCCAGTCTTGGGTGTGTGTGTGGAGGGTTTACACCTTAGTTCTATCCCTGCCCTACTTCCCATGGAGCAGTGGGGAGATGGACAGATGCTGAGTGGTGAGGGTATTCCTTGTCACAAACCCCACCCTTCTCACCTTCATACCATCTTATTTCCTGCTGTCCCAAAGACCAGTGCAGAAGAAGTTCCTCCTGTCGGAGGGACCCCTTCCTGCTGCCCCTCTGCCATGCGGAAGGGCCTGGTGTTCCCCTGTATTGGTGACAGCTGCTGGCAAATGTGGACAGGAGAGCTTGGAGGGCCATGCCCACCCACATTCTCTTGGCCACAACCAAACCATGACCCGCTCAATGCCAGAAGCCAGGGTGCGACCTGGCTGTTCCTAGCAGGCAGAGAAGTGGGTCCAGGGAGCCCAGGCTCCCCCTGAGCATCGAGTAAGACCCCCAGGAATGCTCCTTGCAGGCAGTGTGTCCAGACCTCCCAGGGCATCCCCACCCCTGGCTGTGGAACACAGTGGACAGATGGGCCAGAGGCCAAGGAGCAGGGGTGTCTGAGGAGGCCCAGGGGAGAGCTTCAAAGAAGACCCCTCACCACCCGCTGGACCTTCCACATTGATCCACCACCCAGCAACAAGGGCAGGCAGCCTGTTGATCTCTGTGAAGGACAGTGTTTCTCCAGGGTCACCTGGGGCCCCTGGGAAACGGCGAGTAACCTGGCATTCTGGGAGGCAGGGAAGATGGAAGAGGTTAAAAGAATGGTCTGGCTTAGAGTGTGGTGACCCAGAAGTTTGGTGACAGCACAGTCTGAATGAATTTCCCCTGAGCATGTCCTGCGTGGACTGGCAGGGGCTTTGCCCTACACACATGTGCTGGCTGTGGGCTGAGGGGCACCACCAACCTACAGCAGCTGCGCCATCTTGAACACATGGTTGGCTTGGCTCCCAGGGCAGGGACAGACAGAGTGGAGACACTCAGGTGGCTTTTCACTGCCCACCTTCAAAGTGACCCTCCCCATTTTTCTCACATTTGGTTGGCCAAGTACAGTCCTTCCAGTGCTCGGGAGAGAACGACAGCTGCTGGGGAGACCGTCTGCATGGTCACTCAAGGTGTTGGGTGGACCCCGAGGTACTGTCTCTGGAGGGATAATCCTGTGTCTCCTGGTCTTACTAGAAAGGCATGTGGCGTCTCTCCTAGCCACAGTACACTGACGTCAGAATGCAGCTCCCACTCTCCACGAGAGATGTTTGATCTGGGCTGTGCACTTCCTGGCCATTTCAAGAAATTTGGGACATTGAGAAGAAAGAGACTGTGAAAAAATGCCCTCCTGTGTCCTCAGGGGGACTCCGCTGGCAGGGCTCACCCAGCCCAAGGTTTCCCAAAACTCCATTTCTCATCCTATAGTCATGTCGTGGAGAGAAGATGGTGAGCACCTGTGCCAGAGAGACTGAGCACGCCCCATGTCTCAGGAAAGCACACGCCTGATTCAGAAAGTGACACCACTGGAGTAAGTGGGGTGCAAATGCACAGAATGTGAAGAATCACTGAAATGCCCATGAATCCTAGCTAGGCAGTCGGCACAGGAAGTGCTACCTCTTGGTTTTAAAAACAAGGATTTTGCACTTGTTCAAAAATTGCTCACAGTGGGTTGGGCCTCTCCCGGGTGCAGTTGGGAAGACAGGGAGAGGATGGGTGGGTTTACACAGAGCTCCACCTGTGAGCACCTAGGAGCATCTGGGAGCCCACCAGTGGTGCTCTTTTCCACTTGTGAGTCCCAGCAGAGGCACAGGGACACAGGCCCCTTGGCAATCTGCACCAGCTCTTGAACAAAGTTGGTATCTCTTGAAACTGCTATGGAGAATATTTTTATCTGATTGGAAAACAACAATAAAACTGTCTGGTGTAAAGGCCCATCCACACAGCATGAACAATTAGTACTATTTAATTACCGACAAAATTAGGCTCACAAATTGATTTATGGCCCTGCAGATGAAGGAAGCATATTTGTGGAGGAAAGCAAATTTCTTGCAATTAACTTGAGCGAGACAAGGCAAGTGATTCTGTTGGGAAGTTGTCTCAGAGTCGGGGGCTGCAGCCAAGAACTTCATGGGCCTCAAAACTTCTCCCAGTTCTTTCTAAGGAATGGCCTGACCCACAATTAGTCATGCTAATTACCCAAAGAGGATTGGCCGTGCAAGCCCAGGGAGTGGGGAGCAACTCTTACATCTTATTTTAGCCACTGATCAGGTATCCAGAGTAGCGGCTTCCCAAAAAAGCTTCCACACCAAAAAGTAGAGAAAACTTCTGTCTCGTCAACGATGCATAATGAAGAAATAGTCTAACAGTTTAGGCAGTCTAACAGTTTGGAGCTAGAATCAGGCAGTCACTTTTTATCTTAAGGACATTGAGAAATCCTGTGTGGCAACCAACTGGAAAAGAAAAAGGCGTGATGACATTCAGGACAAATGACACAGTTTGATTTATAAAAACATTGTTTTTAATAAAGCACAGGGGCCATTAATTTCTAATCAATAAATCTGAGAAATGCCTTAAAATAGACTTAGGTGCACAGTGAAAAATACAGGACCTGGATTAGGCATGAGGGGCACATAGGCTCTGCCACCCAGAGCCCTAGTGAAATCACGCAGGAAACAAATCTCAGATTCCCTTAGACAGGTGGAAGAGGTGGGGGCGAAGATCCCCACAAGGGCCAAAGCTTCTGGTTCCCAGATCCCGTCCTGACATAAGCAGCCACATTGCATGGACCTGTCAAGAGCGCGGCTTTGAGTCTCACCTGGGCCCCTGTGTCAGCGCTGGGGATGGGCCCAGCAGGCCCGGTTTTAACAAGCTGCTGATGCTGGCTCAAATGTCAGAAACCACCAAACAGACAACCTCTGAGGGTCTCTGAAGTCTCAGGTCTCCCAAATGTTATAGGAGAAAGACACAAAGTAAAAAGCAAGTTCAAGAACTAAACAAAAGAGACAGACATACATTCAGAAAAATACATGTAGGGTAAGGAGCCGTGCACAACTCAAAGGGAGACACTCAGAAAGACAATTTCTGGAGAACAGCCCTGGCTTCTCTGATCCTCCTTGGAACTCTGAAAGCTAAAAACTCTTAAAGCTTTGGTATATTTTTGCAACCAAGGCATGTACAATCAAATGTCTGTTTCTCCCTTAGCCTGATGGTGGTGATCCTGTTCCCTTCTTCCCTTTATTTTTTTTATCTTGAGACAGGGTTGCACTAAGTTGCCCAGGCTGGCCTGGGTCCTCCTTCCTCAGCCTCCTGAGTAGCAGGGGTAACAGTCCTGTGCCAGTGTCCAGCTGTGGTGACCCAGTTTTACCTGGATCTGGTTTGACTTGGCTGGTTTAAGAGTCTTTAGAGATCCACAGAGCTTTCCTCTGCTCTCTCTGATTACTGCTCTGTTTAATTCCAAGGCTCCCACCAAGCAGAGCAGTCCTCAGGCTGGAAGTCATAGGAGGGTGCCTAGGGATCTTGGATTGGGTGTCTGAGTCATTCAGGAAGGGATCAGGGAACCACCGTGTCTTTCCTCTCCTGGGGCAGCCTCCTACCCACTTTCTGGTCCCTGCTCCCAGTGGGCCAGCTTGGGGGTCAGGATGGAATTCTTCTAGGGACGCTGACTCGAGTTCATTCTAGGATGGTGACCTCAGGGGTCACAGGCTTCCTCATGCAGAGATCACTGGGAGACATCTAGGGCGTGGCGAGGGCCCCTCCAGCCATCCACGTGCTCATGCTTAGCGAGGGTCAGCAGCTTCCCACAGGCCAGGGACCTTCTGGCAACCCCAGGTTCTGGGAAGAAGCTGAGCCATGGACCTTCTAGAACCTGCATTGAGGAGGGGTCGGCTCTCTCCTTGCCTTCCGCGGGGTGTCCACCACCTCCCAACAACCCTCTCCTGTTTGCACACGCAGCGAGGGCGACAGAGGGCGGGGGCGGGGACCACGGGAGGTGGGACTTACTTTGCGGATTGGGGCTCACAGCTGTCACTCTGAAAGGGTGGGGCTTTTTAAAAAAAAGACAAATTTTTAAGGCAAAACCCCCAACACGCACCGGGCACTGTCGCGACCGCCAGCGCTCCGGATGCAGTCTTTGTGGAGCGGGGCCACCGCGCCTGCTGGCGGGCGGCAGCTGCGGCGCACAGCCGCGTACCCGAGCCAGCGGTTCCTCCTCCGCGCACATCTGGCGCGCCTCCCCCGGTC